GGCACTGGAGCATGGGCATCACTAGATGGTCAGTGTATCAATATTATCTTACACAGAGTAAGGCATGGGGGAATCAGCAAACAGTTTTGTTTTGCTGTGACTGAAATGAATGGTTGTTTGTTATATTTCGCTGTGTATCTGTTGACCCCTTCCCCCTTCCTTTCTTCTTCAGATAAAAATAAATATACCAGTATACTCGTAGAAGGATTTTGAACCAAAACTTAATGATACGGAGGTCACGACAGAAAACTGTTGTTTTTAAAAAAACTTCAAATATTTCATAGAAAATATGAATTTATCGGTGATCAATGGACAAAATATTAAATGTTTGGACTATGCATAATGTATATGGTATTAAGAAAGACACATGTTTTGTAATGAGACCCGGGTTTCTGAAATAACCCCATTATCACTGTAAGACAACATTAAAGACGTTTTTGGGGAGGTTTTTCAAATTATATATTAAATTTCTGCCTATAATATCTGTTTGAAAACTCCCAAAAACGTCCTTAGTTCATGTTTCAAGTGGCGCACTTCGAGATGGCATGACCATCGCTGTTTTACACTAGCCCGACAGTGCGACGACAAAGGGAGGTTGAGGTCACAAATAATGTGTGCAACGCTCGAATCGCACGACATCTTTTATGCTGCTAATTAATGAAATTTTTTAAGAACGAACTTAAATACGCTTGTATTGATGTTGGTTGAAGAAAATAATCTTTAGATTTCAAGGTCATTAACAACGCAGAATCTATACAAAATGAATACACGACTAACACGTTGTTGTTGTTGTGGTGGTGATGGTTATAACTCGTGAACATACTTAATATGTCCGATTACATGTATATTATAAACTAAACAAAGCTTTCAAATATTTCAAATAATGTATTAATATGTTATGGATTCAGCTTGAATATCAAGCAATATACAGTAACTGACGTCATTGCAAATTATTTCTTAGTGTTTTTATTTCCAGACTGTTTCAGGACCGCCGCCTGGGTGATGATTACCACTCCTTTGGTGGCAGGCCCAAACCCGTGACCACAAACCTGCATGTAACGTTCACAATGGAAGTCGCGATCACAGAAATTGTTACTTTCCGGGAAGCTGATTTCTCTGGCAGTCGGGGCCGGGGACAAAAACCAAGAAAAAAAATGGGGGTTTTGCACCCCGGGGGTGGGCCTGATACAGGACAAGAATAAACCATTGGTAGAATAAAACAACACCTTAAAAGACTGTGTAATTATTGTGAAGCTTGAGGAAGAATAACATGTATTATCCTCCTTCCCTTAAGAGTTGAAGAAGTATTTTTTTAGAAAAGTTTTGGAAAAACAAAGAATCTCCATAATCCCAGTTATCTTTCAAATCTTGAGGCAATACTATTTGCTTTCTCTTTAAGTTTTGAGATTGCAAGAGGTATGAATCGTGTTTCAAATTTTCCTTCATTAAAGAAATGTCATTACATTTTTTGAAGAACAAAAAACGATCGCCCATTAAGTATTGAAGATAAATAATCGTGTGTCCATAGTTTCAAAATTTTCTCATAATCTTAAGAAATTTTTAAGATTTTAGTTTTAATATAATCATCATTGTCTTAAAATTTGACGAAAACAGTCACATTGATTATATAATCATGAAAATAAACAGAAATAATTACTTTGCACGCAGCTACAGATTCTATTATCACATGTTAGCACATAGTCACGTTCCGGACAGGTCACATGACTACAGTCGGAAGTCACCTGACAATCTTCGGAGACTGAAAATAGTATAACATTTCCTCTTGACAGTTCTTTGTTTTTTAAGCATCTCAGATAAAGTCTTTTTTCGGGGTTAACCGAATGCAAGATTCTTTATTATTCACTTGTGAAATGTCTCTAGTTTTTCTGGGACATATGTTGACTAAAATTATTTCCGAAACTTGTACAATTGTGATAATGTCCAATATAAAGAATCGCTTTATAATTCTACTTTTCAAACGTTAATAATATAAAATTGTATCGCTAACAATTTTGTTACAAAAGAAGAAGACCTGGCCTGAACTAAACAAAGTGTATCATAACTGAAAATCACTTACTTGCCACACCGACCAACACGACGCAGACGACAATTTTCACAGTAGTGGAATACATGTTGCTGGAATGGGAAATTATGAATTGACTAACAGTGGAGTAAAGATCTCTTTATATATGCACTATTATCATTAAAACATGAGACGGAGTGGGCGCTTTTTACATGATTTTCAGCATCTACTTGTGACGGCTTTCTATAAATGGACGATGTTAAAAATGGACGATTCATAAATGGACAACAACGTGTACCTAACGCATGCTGTAACGTGAGCGTCCCATATGCCCACCTGGCTAAGTGAAAGAAACGCACTGTATGCACCTTTTTTTCTCATTTCTTATCTTAACTTATAGCATTCGTCTAGATATACTCATCTGTGACAATAAGATTGAACGACCTTTCACAATATACTGACACACAATTTCGTTTAATGAATTAATTAAAAAAATGATACTCTGGGAAATGGATTATTTGATATTATTATAGTTTAGGACATGCTACTTACCGGAACTGCGGCATTGGGTAGAGTGTAGCTTCTTAGAGTATTTTTTTTCACACAGAATCACTTAGAGCACAAGAACAGATTAATAGTACACTATATATCACCAACACTCCAATCAATTGCCAGAAAGCTTTTAAAAGTCACTATTTTGTGAAATTGCGAAATTAAAGGTTCAACACTTTGATGATTCATTATTTTTCATGAAGGTTCAGTCCTGTAAAATTCTTATATATAATTCATGAAGAGAAAAATAATTCATGGAACAATATTATTCATTTACTTTTATTTATTGTGCACAAGCGCAAGTTATTTTCTTTCTTTCCGACAAAGGTTCAAGTTTAACAAACAGCTCATTATATAAATAAAGACAAAAAAGAAGTCATAAAAAATAAAGCTACTGTCAGCATATGCTCAGTGCCCGGACCAACATGTTTAAATCTTCTTCAATCCGACTGAAGTTCAGATTTACTTATTTCTTACATGTAGATATGAAGTTCTCACATGTAGATCTGATTTCCACCATATATATGTTTCGCCTTCATTGTGATTCGGATTTCCCGATAGAGGTTTTGTTGATCCTAATGCATCGCGTTATTTAGGAGTTGATTTTAATCAGATTGAATCTTCTCATAATTAAACATATTTTCAAAAGTCAATTCATGTATATATACCATAATTTAGTACTTTAAACTTTAATATAGAAGTTCTACAATCAAATCATCAAATCAGGATTCACAACAACACTGTTTAAAGAAATGATATTAAAAAAATTTTCCCGTTTCAAATGCAAAACGGAACACCCCCGACGATTAATTTCCAAAAAAATTGGGCTCGGGGCTTTAATCTTTTAAATTCCCAATTGAAAAAAGGCCCGAATTGAAAAATAGTTTTTAAACCAAAGTAAAATTAACCCAAAAAATTTACGGAAAGGGCCCCGGGAAAACAAATGCCCTTTAGGAAAAACTAAGAAAAATTTTAAAATGAAATGTCCCCCGGGTTTTAAAAAAGAAACATAAATTTCCAAAAAACATAATAAACTATTCCCTTTAATCTATACCAAAAAAAAATAACAAAAAAAACCCTAATTTAAAAACTTAAAAAAATAGAAAAATTTTAAAAAATTTCTCTCGTATACGGTTGACAAAAATTCCCCTGAACCCTCTTTAAGGGCAACCTTGTTAGATTTACAAATTTCCCCTCAAACACCAAAGGTTTTTTCTGGGTGCTAAATTGATTAAAAACCAAAACAGTTTCGAATCTCAATTAAAACTAATTTTCCATCATATTTACATACACGCAGTTTACAATTTACCTGTTATGACCATGCTTGAAAACTTCATCAATGTTGTATAGTCTTACCAACACTTAAACAATGTTTCCGCCCTGGCTCCGACTCAGTGGCCTTTTTAATTTATGGTACACATATGCAAATACAATTTTATTGTTCTTTCTTACCTAAAATCATTTTTAAAGCCAAGTACTATATATGTGTGAGTTTTGTTACTTCTATCTAACTGATAGTCATTCTTGTAAAATAAGTTATTGTAATTTATTGCATCAGGGAAGACCCGTTGCTAATGTTGAGAGAACTTGTGGGTCAACCCTTTTGCCAAATATGTCATGTCATTGTATTGTAACTACCTACATGTATGTATATGTCTTATTTTTGGCAATAAAATATGTTTAAATCAATCAAATACAATTTTATGCTCACTTTATTCTTTGTAAATCGGAATACCGTTGCCCTCTTACAGTAAGGGAAGCAATTCATTCACTACTGATGGCATTAATTTTGAAGTTATCTCTCTTAAACTGATTCGAACTTTTAGTGTTTGAACGAGACTAAGCTCGTTGTTTCCACAATCAAAGTTGATGGTGTTTAACTTGATTAATAGGAAGAACTATTGTTCTCATTAAGGTGTTGGCAACACACTTCATTTAAGTTTTTGCATGTAAGTTGCTATCTCCATAACTACAGTAGAGAATGGGTTGAAACTTTCACACACTTATTTGAAAGTATAATTGGAGATCACTGTTCAAGGCCCATAATTCTAACAAGAATTATGGCCCTTTTTAAACTTTGTAAATTCTACATTATCCAGACTATAGTTTACTATCAATCATTGAGAAAAGCCGAACATTTGTCACAGAATAAACATAAAGAAAAGCTTTTCAGAAATAGAAATGATAGTATTTTGGGCTAAATGGAGGCTGTGAAGCTATTTTTGTATGTCTGAAAAAGTTTGATATTTTTGTACATAATTACATATATAATGTGTCCATACAATAAATATTATATACATATTTTTATTCATAGAGGGGGAGTTTTACTTCTGGTATTTTGTACATGTATAATTTTTCTCTTTTTTTTAACAGTTACGATATTGTTTTATTTATTTTATATACATATTTTCTTCTTGTATTACAGTTATCCAATGAGACCTCCAAAGGTTCAGTTTATAACAAAGATATTTCATCCTAACATAAGTCGTCATGGAGATGTGGGCTTAGATTCTATTCACTATAACTGGAGCCTGGCTCTAACTATATCTAAAGTTCTAATAAGTATCCAGTCTTTATTAACGGACCCATATTGTGATGTGTGCATGGAACCAGCCATTGGTTCCTTGTACAGTAAAAATAGACAAGAGTTTGAGAGAATATCACGATTATGGACGTGGAAGTACGCAATGCATGATTTCCTCATGCCAATGGAAATAGATCTGAATGGATTATAGCATTATATGAAACGATACTGGAGAGGTTGCAATTTTTGATTTGTTAGCTGATACATATGTGAAGAATTTGTTTTAAACAATATTTTTAAAATATGAGCAAAGTTATTATTTTCAACATATTTTAACCCTTAACCTTCTCAATGGTTGTAATGGATTTGCCCTGCTTTGAATTTGAAACAATCTATTGAAAGTTTAAGGGGTTTCAATATCAAAAGCTAAAAATAGTATCAAGGTTGATCAGACTGCACAGATATGCAGGTCAAGCAGGCTCTTTACCGATGGTAAAGGTTAATCACTTTTTTTCAAGTGGAATAAGGGTAAAACCGCCTCCGTGGTCGAGGAGTTAGAGTCGATGACTTCTAATCCAGTTACCTCTCTGGCGTGGGTTCGATCCCCGGGAGATGCTTTGGTAGTTTAGCGCGGAGGAACGTAGTCTAGTACTGGTGTAACTCTCCAGGAACGATGATTAGGAAACTACCCGCCTATATGACTGAAATACTGTTGGGAAAAGGCGTTGACTGAAATACTGTTGGGAAAAGGCGTAATTTGAAACAAACAAAAAAGTTAAAACCGACATATGAATTCATTGCAGTGGTTACAAACATGACCTTTGGTTGCATTTGCTAAATTTCTTCCTACTGGAGTTTAAATATAAAAACTATAAATATACATTGTATATGAAAATCTTATCTAGGTAAATTAATTAGCAAGGGATTTATCTCTGGAAAATATATACTATTAAATTAATGAGTATGTTCATAGATAGATAGATATGCTAACAAATGAAAAAAATGTTAACAAATTGATTAAAGAAGTGTTAAAAAAAAATAATAAAAAAAACATGCTATAAAATTGATAAATATGCTTATTTTATTTTTTTGAAATACTAAAAAATCAATAAATATGGTAAGAAATGGAAAAAAAACGCTACGAAATTTAATTACTAAATTGTAACCTCTCTTGTTTTTAAAGGTTGTGCAATTATATATTTGTTAATGACTTAAATTGTTATTGTAGCTTATCTTGCATAATTAATTATATGCGTTTATCTTTTATTTTATGTTTTAATATCATTTTTCTTTGTTAAGACATATATTGTTTTATATTTTTCCCCAAATTTTGCATTTATGGCAACTTTATATTGTTCTTACAAAACCACATTTTCTGTCATAGAATAAAGTAAGTGATATTACTTAAAAGCTTTCTTTGTGTTGGCTTCTCAAAATGTGTTCTTTATATGTCAGTCAGAATTTGTATTTCAACATAGTATAATGATATGGTGGTGTCTGTCAATCTGTCTGTGGACAATTTGTTTTCTACACAATGATTTTAGGATATTACCAAAAATGCTGGTTGCCTTGATTTGACCTAAAGTATTTTCAATAACAATATAACAAAAATTCAATAAGCAACAAAAGTTCAAGATTTTCATGATTATTTTTAAGAGGTATGAATGTCATATTGCATGACTAGCTGAATAAAATATTTTATGTCAAATCATAGTAACCAGAACTTTTGCATATTGCATGCATTTAACATGCACTTGGTTGCTTCTAGTAATTATGTGAGAATTGCAGGATGTCCATAAGGCCCCTTGTTATGTTGACACTTTGGATATTTCTAAGGACATTCTGGAACAAGTAGACCGTCTTCACCATTCGAAAAGAGCACTGGAACATGGGCATCACTAGATGATCAGTGTACCAATATTATCTTACACAGAGTGAGGCATGGGGGAATCAGCAAACAGTTTTGTTTTGCTGTGACTAAAATGAATGGTTGTTTATAATATTTCGCTGTGTATCTGTTGACCCCTTCCTTCAGATAAAAATAAATATACCAGTATACTAGAAGGATTTTGAACCAACTTAATGATACGGAGGTCACGACAGAAACTGCTGTTTAAAAAAACTTCAATATTTCATAGAAATATGAATATCAGTGATCAATGGACAAAATATTAAATGTTGGACTATGCATGATGTATATGGTATTAAGAAAGACACATGTTTGTAAGGAGACTGGGTTTCTGAATAACCCCATTATCACTATAAAGACAACATTAAAGACGTTTTCCGGAGGTTTTCATATATTAATTCTGCCTATATATCTGTTTGAAAACTCCCAAAAACGTCCTTAGTTCATGTTTCAAGTGGCGCACTACGAGATGGCATGCCCATCGCTGTTTTACACTATCCCGACAGTGCGACGACAAAGGGACGGTTGAGGTCACAAATAATGTGTGCAACGCTCGAATCGCACGACATCTTTTACGCTGCCAATTAATTAAATTTTTAAAGAATGAACTTAAATACGTTGTGTATTGGTGTTGGTTGAAGAAATTATCTTTAAATCTCAAGATAATTAACAACGCAAAATCTTTATTATACAAAATGAATACCTGATTAACACGTTGTTTGTTTGTGATGGTTATAACTTGTGGACATACTTAATATGTCCGTTTACATGTATATTATAAACTAAACAAAGCTTTCAAATATTTCAAATAATGTATTAATATGTTATGGATTCTTTTTGAATATCAAGCAATATACAGTAACTGACGTCATTGCAAATTATTTCTAGTGGTTTATTTGCCGACTGGTCCAGGACCGCCGCCTGGGTGATGATCACCACCTCCTGGTGCAGGCCCAAACCCGTGACCACACCTGCATGTACCGTCTACACAATGGAAGTCGCGATCACAGAAATTGTCACTTCCGGAGCTGAGTTCTGGCAGTCGGTCGGGGACAAACAAGAATGTTGCGTGGCTGATACAGAGACAAAAATAAACAATAATGACGCAAATTATTATGAAGCTATGAGGAAATATAATCCCTCTTTCCTTAAGAGTTGAAGTATTATTTAATTATTTTCCTCAATCTTTGAAGAAAAGTTTGGAAAACAAAGAATCTCTATAATGCAGTTATCTTCAATCTTGAGGCAATACTATCGCATTCTTAAAGTTTTGAGATGAAGAAGTATGATCGTGCTCATTTTCCTTCATTAAAGAAATATCATTACATTTTTTGAAAGAAAAAAAAAAAGAAGCAAACAAAAAACGATCGCCCATTAAGTATTAAAGATAAATAATCGTGTGTCCGTAGAGTTTCAAAATTTTCTCATAATCTTAAGACATTTTTAAGATTTTAGTTTTAATATAATCATCATTGTCTTAAAATTTGACGAAATCAGTCACATTGATTGTAAAATCATGAAAATAAACAGAATTAATAATTACTTTGCATGCAGCTACATATTCTTTGATCACATGTAAGCACATAGTCACGTTCCGGACAGGTCACATGACTACAGTCGGAATTCACCTGACAATCTTCGGAGACTAAAAATAGTATCAACATTTCCTCTACAGAAAAAATCGTTTTCAGGGTTATCCGAATGCAAAATTCTTTATTATTCACTTGTGAAATGTTTTTAGTTTGTCTGGGACAAATGTTGACTAAAATTATTTCCGAAACTTGTACAATTGTAATAATGTCCCATATAAAGAATCGCTTTAAAATTCTACTTTTTAAACGTAAATAATATAACATTGTATCGCTAACAATTTTTTTCAAAGTTTTTTTATACAAAAAAGACCTGGCCTGAACTATACAAAGTGAATCATAACATTAAATTTATTTTGAAAATCACTTACTTGCCACACTGACCAACACGACGCAGACGACAATTTTCACAGTTGTGGAATACATGTTGCTGGAATGAGAAATTATGAATTGACTAACAGTGATGTGAATATTTCTTTATATATGCAATATTATCATTAAAACATGAGACGGAGTGGGCGCTTTTTACACGGCTTTCTATAAACGGATGATGTTTGAAATGGACGATTCTAAATGGACAACAACGTGTACCAAACGCATGCTGTGACGTGAGCGTCCCAATTATTGCCCCAAATCCCCTAAATTTTCCTGGCGAAAATGAAAGAAAAAAGCAAATGGTTGGGACTTTTTTTTCTCATTTTTTTTCGGGATATATCTCTGTTGGGCAATAAGAAATTTAACCCTTTCACAAAACCCGCTTTCTCACGTTTTTAAAGAAACAATTTCGTTTTAATTTTTTAAAAAAATTCCCTGGGGAAAAGGTTATTTGATATTAGACATTTCCACTTACTTTGAAAATTTCGGCATTGGGGAAAAGAGTAGTTTCTTTAAAAGGGAATTTTTTTTACACAAATCACTTAAGCACAAGAAAGATTTTACATATATATTAACCCCCAAACCCAGTAAATTTCCAGAAAACTATTTTTGGGGGAAATTCGGATTTAAAAAAAAAGATTCATTTTTAATGAAGGTTTTTAAAAATATTTTTCATTTTCTATTTACTTTTGACATTTAGGAACTGATTTTAATCAGATTGAAATTTTCTTATAATCAAAAATGATTTCAAATATGCATCTAAAGTCAGTACATGTATATATACCATATTTTAATACTTTAACTTTTAAAATTGAAGTTCTACAGTCAAATCATCCAATCAGGATTCAGAACAACACCGTAAAGATTATATTAAAAACCTTCCAGTCTCACTGTAATCGGAACACACCGAAAATTATTCATAATAGTCTCGGACTGAATCATTAATTCGAATTGAAACGGCCCGAATGGAAAGTAGTTCTACGACATGACTTATCCGAAGATTGACGGAAAGGGCCGGAATTGAGGAAAAACAAAGAACTTCAATGAATTGTACCTTGGTTTAAGAGAAACATATTCCAATAACATAATGAACGCATTCTTCACTCTAAAAAAACAAACAAAAAACAAACAAACAACCTTAAAACTTAAATTAACATAATTATATTTTAAACATTTCTCCCACTGACTATCTGAAGCTACCTCGTTAGATAGGTTACGATGTCACTTTCCATCATCAACATGTTTTACTGGGTGCTAAAGTGACTTAAAGCCAAAACAGTTTCGTATCTCAGTTAAAACTAATTTTCCATCATATTTACATACACGAAGTTTACAATTTACCTGTTATGACCATGCTTGAAAACTTCATCAATGTTGTATAGTCTTACCAACACTTAAACAATGTTTCCGCCCTGGCTCCGACTCAGTGGCCTTTTTAATTTATGGTACACATACGCAAATACAATTTTATGCTCACTTTATTCTTTGTGACACTATAAATCGGAATACCGTTGCCCTTTACGAAAATATCTTTTACAGTAAGGGAAGCAATTCATTCACTACTGATAGCAGTAATTTTAAAGTTATCTCTCTTATACTGATTCGAACTTTAAGTGGTTGGTAGACTCGTTTGAACGAGACTAAGCTCGTTGTTTCCACAATCAAAGTTGATGGTGTTTAACTTTTAAAATAATCATCAGTATTTTTCAAACGATTATATACCGGTATATCATGGAAAAATTCTGAAAAGCGTTGTATTCTTTGAGGTAAATGTTAAATAAACCAGCATAACATTTCCTTAAAATACATTCCCGTTGTTGTTTTGCACAATTAGATTATGTACATACCAGCACTTTTAACTCAGTCGAGATCAAATCTATTTCAATTTAATAATGTGCTAAAACGTTATACATGCAGGTATGTTTGGGAGCAAGAGATGTGTTGATCATAAAGTTTACACAAACATTACATTACACACTGAATACTTCTCACTAAATGAACATTACTTACTCAATATTTCTCACACAGTGAACATTACTTACTCAATATTTCTCACACAGTGAACATTACACACTGAATACCTCTCACACAGTGAACATTACACACTGAATACTTCTCACACAATGAACATTACTTACTGAATACTTCTCACACAGTGAACATTACATACTAA